ACTTTTCTGTACTAGGTGTCAGGTGTCTTGTCCGTAAGAGGCCAGCCTTCTTTATAAAGCTTTCCCTTGCCATCATCTCGCACTCGGTGCCTTGATCACTCATTGCCCATGACGTCCACCTGACACACTGGCTTCAGCGTGAGTGTCTTTTATAAATGGCGATGATGTGTTTACTTTCATCACACAGAGACGGAATGTTTATTGTAAAGAATACGAAAACACAGAGGAGCAAAAGAGAGAGGAGCGCTGAATACTTTACAAACGTGATCAAACATTCCCCACAATAACCCTGAAAAATAGATGTTGCCTGATGGAAGAGAAAACTGAAAGTCAGGGAGAAGGAGCAACACCCCCATGCCCACACAGCTGTCAAATGGCTGTCGGGATCTTGCGACACCCAAGCCAGTGCCCAACCCTTCTGCTGTGCTGCGTGGAGCTGATGCACTGTGAATAGCCCTTTCCTTGGAGCTGCATGGTGTCTTCCTTTCTTTCTTTCCTTTTCTTTTCTTTCCTTTTCTTTTCTTTTCTTTTCTTTTCTTTTCTTTTCTTTTCTTTTCTTTTCTTTTCTTTTCTTTTCTTTCTTTCTTTCTTTCTTTCTTTCTTTCTTTCTTCCTTCCTTCCTTCCTTCCTTCCTTCCTTCCTTCCTTCCTTCCTTCCTTTCTTTTTAAGAGAGGTTTTTGATACAGGGCACGTGTGCTTGCTGGAAAGACAGAGGCAAAGAGAAAGAAAGCAAGAATCACCCCCCAGCGGGGATGGCCACACCACAATTCCTTCTCTTTTATTCTCTTGAGATCTTGGACACACACGCACGTGCACCCAGCATGAGTTTAAGATGCTGGGTCCAGGACTTGAGCCAACATAACTATTATGCCATCTGCTAGTCCCTCTAAATTTTTTAATTGCCAGAGGGCATGTGCATTTGTGGGGGGGTAAGTATACCCTGGAAGGGGTGTGGTCACACTACAGTCCCTTCCCCTCCATCGTTCACTGTGTCAGGGTTTGGGGTGTGCAGCACACAGACATGGCATGGTTTTCAAGCTCCCAGGGCTAAAATCTGAACCATGGTCAGCAGGATAGGCTCCAGCTCCCTTAAACCTGGACTATGAGGCTGGCCCAGCTAAATTTTTAATGAACACAAATATTAAATGCACCATCAGTATAAAAATGTAAACAACTTAGAAATAGAGCAAAAAGTGCAGGTTTACCTTCAAAATTCACACGTCTTCTCTATGTCTCCCAAGAGGCAGCCACAGTGATCAGTCCAGTGTTTATGTCCCCAGACTTTCCCCTGTAGTTTGTAGATGTATGTCCTGTGGGTGTGTTTCTACATGTGTGTGTGGGAGGGTGTGCATTTTTCAGAGAAGGAATCACATTACCCGTAGCCTTCTACACTTGGCATTTGTCACCTAATATTGTATTTGGTAAGATTTCTGTGGCAGGTTCTAGTACTAGGTCTCTCTCGTGTCCATTTCCCTACCCCTCAGCAACAAAGAGATGGTTGCCTGAGCACAGGCTGCCCAGACTGAAAAGACACAGCCTGTCTTCCCTAGTAGCACCGGACTAAATTCTTGGCATAGGGACACCCAGGAGCGAGCCCGAGTCACGCCCCATTCCCTTCTCAGGAGGCAGCCGGCACGTGCTGTTCGGCCTCCTCTCCGGCCTTTTCTCCACCCCACTATCTGTCCTGCAGATGGCACCACAATGAACCACGGGGACGGAACCAAACACAACGGAGCAACAAGACACACAAGACTGTCCACCCCACGGAATGCCATGCCGGTTCAGGTCCAGCTTTTCCTGCTTGAGGGAGAAGTGGGCCTCGAGTGTTGAGTAAGCAGCTACTATTCGGAGGTTTTCTGACACTTGCCATTGTCTTGTAGAAGTGTGAGTTGCGGCAAACGGCGGAACCAGGGCATGTGCTGCTGACTTGGTGTAAGTGGTTAGGTCACAGACGGCAAAGAATCAAATATTGGGGCTGCCAGGTGGCATGGTGGTTAAGGTGTTGAATTCCCACATGGCTGACTGTGGTTCGAACCCTGGCAGCTTGCTTTCTCACTTTCCCTTCCCTTGCTCTTTCTCTCTGTCTCTTTGGTTAAATTAAAAAATAAATAATAATAACAAATAAAATTAAATAAAGAATTAATATTTTAAAAAATAATAAAATATTATTGGCTCCAAAGTTCATGACCCGTACTTGGTTCACTGGTCCTTACTGTATCTTAAAAGACAAACCAGGAGCTAATGGCGGCATGGAGGTTGGGTGGGAAGGAGGAGAAAGTGTAAGATGACAATGGGAGTGTGTCTATGCTGCCGTAAACAATGTTCTATTCAAGAGAGGTAAACTCGGAACAGAGAATCCTAGGACAAAGATGGGTAAAAGGACAGCTTTCATAAGAGCAGGCTTCTCTACCTGCAATGTAAATGATCTCTGTGGCGATCTGACACCCCACATAAAAAGCTCTCCCTTCTGCACCCCCCAATGAAGAGGTATACACAATGACTTTGAAATGGCAGCTTTAGCAGGATTTAAACTGGCCCCAATTTTTTTTCAAGCACCTTCTGCTAAGAGTTTTCTACCAAATGATCAATGCTAGCTCAGGGGCAAAAGGTGGGGTTGAACTGGCTGTTTCAGAGGTTGATGTCTCAGAAGACCTCAGGGTGGTCAGTATCAAAAGGAATGGAAGGGCAGAGCACTGAAGGTGGAAGTGAAAACCTTAGTGTCTTCAGGCAAGAAAGTTTTCTGGAGCCCAGTTGCCAGGATGAAACTCAGTAGCTGTGCAACCTTGGGAAATTGTTTAATCACTTTACCCCTAACACATTGATTGAGTTCCTTTTATTTTGCCAGACACTGTCCTGGGGCTGAAGGCAAACTGGCAAACAAACAAACAAACAAACAAACAAAAAAGAAAAGAAAGAAAAAGAAAAAGAAAGGAAGCAGAAAAGAGGAGAAGGAGAAGGAGGAAGAGGAGGAAGAGGTGGAAGAGGAGGAGGAGAGTGAGGAAGAGGATAAAGGAGGAGGAGGAAAAGGAGGAGGGGGAGGAGAAGGAGGAGGAGGAGAAGAGGAGGAGAAGGAGGAGGAGGAAAGGGAGGAGGAGAAGGAGGAGGAGAAGGAGGAGGAGGAGGAGAAGGAGGAGGAGGAGAAGAGGAGGAGAAGGAGGAGGAGAAGGAGGAGGAGGAGGAAGAGGAGCCTGTTGCTATCTGTCTTCATTCTAGTGAAAGGAGAGAGAGAATATCAAGTGAATAAAATAAACTGACAGGATAATTCCAACAGTGAAAGTGGTAAGAAACTAAAGGAGGGGAGGTTAAGAGTGTCCTTGTAGTCATAACATACAAGGAAAAGTTCAGACTGCATATTGTTCTTAAAACCCTTCTGCTTGATGGTGTAGTGGTTACATCACTGGACTCCCACGTAGTCAACCACAGTTGAGTCCTGGACCTAGTGGCTTAGAACTCACACCAGGCGTGTACGTGCATGCCTAAAACTCCAAGAGGAGAATGGAGGAGAAGGAATTGTGGCGTGGCCATCCCACCTGGGGAGTGATTTCTTGCTTTCTGTCTGACTCTCTGTCTCTCTGGCAAGCGTATGCACCCTATGACATAAAACCCCTTCTGCTTAAATCACTGTATAAAGGGGCCTAATATATTGTAACACTCTTTTCCACTTGAGCCCAGAACCAGCCAAGAGATTAAAACAACAGAGGCAAGATGGATTCCACTCCGAATGTCAGATCCTTGCTGAGTGTCTTAGAGCTGCTACAATAAAATTCCATAAACTGAGTGGCTTATGAACAAGAGATTGATTTCTCACCATACTGGAGGCTGAAACTTTGCGATCGCGTTGTCAGAGAGTCTGGCCAGGTTCTGGTTAGAAGCCTTTTATGGATGCAGACTGCTGACTTCTCACTGTCCCCTCATGTGGCGAAGAGCAAAGGGGTGAAGCTCACTCACCTGTGGCTCTTGCAAGGGCACTAATCACACTTATAAAAGCTCCACCCTTGTGACCTCATCTGCTTCTTTTTATTTAAAGAATTGTTTATTTTATTGCATTGTTACTACTGCCATTTTTTAAAAATTTGCTATAGGACAATTTGCTATCTCACCAGAGATAGAGATAAAAGAGAGTCAGAGAGAGAGAAAGTGAGAAAGCAAGCCACCAGCTCTGGGACTCAAACCACAGTCAATCATGTCAATCTTAACCACAGTCAACCTTAACCAGCATGCCACCTGCTAGCCCCAGACCTCACCTAATTCTTTTTAAAAATATTTATTTAATTTTATTTATCATCATCATCATTTTTTAAATTTGCTATAGAGCATGTGTGCACACCCCAGAGAGAGAGAGAGAGAGAGAGAGAGAGCGAAAGGAAGCCGCCAGGTCCAGGATTTGAACTGCAGTTGGCCATGTGGGAGTCCAGCACCTTGACCACCATGCCACCTCCTGGCCCTGACCTCATCTAAGTTTAATGACTTCCCAAAGTTCTCAAAGGTCCCCTAATACCATCACATACAGGGCTATAGTTTCAATATATGAATACTGGGGAGACATGACTATTCAGCCCACAACACAGAAAAGCAAAATGCACGTATCTGACTTGGTCCTGTGCGAACAATGACCACCGGGATATGAAATCCTGAGTCAGAGGGACTTTTCTATCCATCGTTGGTAGTGCTGCTTCGGTCACTTTTACTTAGAAGCAAACTACAATTTAAACACTCAGTTTAACCATGAAGCACAAAGAAGGTAGAAATCTCATAAAATAGAACCGTCATCACACACAACTATGAGTGATATTTTTAATATCCTCAAGGAATTTAATTCATAAATATTTCCTTGAATTTTATCTTCGTAACAAGCAAAATAGCTCATGCAGTGCTTTACAGCCTTGATATTTCATGTTGGTAACTCAAGGTTTCTCAGACCTTCAAGTCTGTAACCATGTTCATGTCTGCTGGTTTTAACTTCAGTCAAGGACTAATGTACAATTCGAGACGGGGCAGGACGCTGGCACAGCATGAAACATGACGCTCTGCGAGGCTGACCTATGTGGGAAGATTCCAGGTTCGTGTCTGGAGACCTCCCTAGGTATGTTGGGCACATGCGTGTCGATTTAGACCGGCTGGGGCTGCAGGTGGATTGTTGTCAAGATCCTTCTGGTGGTGCCTGTCTCTCTCTCTCCTCACCTCTGTCATTCTCCCTCATGAAAGAGACAGATACATCTTAAACATTCATGACATAAAGGGTTAATTATGCAGTATCATCAATCCACACTTACGTGCACACCTACGAGTATCACAAAAGGCGGAGTACCTGAAGCTTCATAGTACACATGTCTATGCAAAGGAAGACTGCAACATTCACTTTCCAGTGTGCTTTTCATTCCCCCCAGTGGATCCAATATAGAGAATGGAAAATCTAGCCCCAGATCTTTGCTGCTCCACTGAGATACACCCTAAACCCAAGTCCATGTTTCTAGTGAGGATCACAACATCTGACAGCATGCCAGAATTACAGATTTAAGCACATTGGTGCTAGGATACAACTTTGATACCTGCCCTCCTTGACAACAACAAAAAGTCTGCAATGCACATTAACACCTGAGTGAAAGCTATGGCACAGGGACTTTTATCATCCTGGAAGCCCTTTCTTTTATTTTTAAATACTTGGGACCAGTAGTAAGCGTAATGGCTATGTCACTGGACTCCCATGTAGTCAACTGCAGTTTGAGTCCAGGACCCAGTGGCTTAAACTCAAGCTGGGTACGTGTGCATGCATTCCCAAGATCCCGAGAGAAAAATGGAGGAGAAGGGAATGCGGAATTGACATCCTCCCTGGGGGTGATTTTTCGCTTTCTGTCTCTCTGTCTCTCTTGAGCACACGTGCCCTATAGCAAAAAAAACCTCTCCAAAAAACCCAAAAAACCCTATTTATTCAATTTAATTAATTAATTATTATTATTATTCACTATGGATACCAAAGAGAGAAAGAGAGAGAGAGAGGAAGAGAGAGAGAGAGAGAGAGAGAGAGAGAGAGAGAGAGAAAGCCACTGGGTCTGGGACTTGAACTGCAATCAGCCATATGGGAGCCCAGTGCCTTAGCCACCATGTCACCTGCTGGCCCCTATCCTGGAATTTCACACTGTCCTGGAGAGATCATTTGTATTAAGAAAATGTCCACAATCCAGGTGCATACACTGCCATGCTCCTTCCTGGCTATATTATTTCTCACACTTAATTCTTGTTTTGTTTTCTCTGACATTACAGAGGGAAATTAATGGAATAGAATAAATTAAGAGCCCCGGTACTTTATCATCTTTACTGTTCAGCTCATTTAATGGATACCTTAGGGAGATCAGGAGGTGCTTGCTGATAACTCCTTTAGAGCAAAAAGGCTTTGTGTTTGTTCATTTGTTTGTTTTTTATGTTCTATTTACCTCAAAATTTCATACTGTTATTGGTGCTGTATAAATAAGAAATACAACAGCAAATGTAGTAATTAAAGTTTTGGGGGAAATGATAGCTTTACACTTTTTAAATTAAGCTGCAATATTTAGTTCCAGAATATCTACAGAAGTGACAAGACTGGTCAATTTGATTAGAAGGAAGTCAACTAAAACTCCAGTTTTCATTAAGGATTCTTGAATATTTATAACATTGAAAAGAAGGACTTAGGGAGGTTATAGAAATTTTCATTTTGGAGATGTCTGAACAGGATTTCTTTCTTTTAGGAGGATTAGGACTGAGCCTTAGACAGACTGTTTTCTCAATGTCTGTTGCAACTTCAGTGTGTGTGTGTGTGTGTGTGTGTGTGTGTGTGTGTGCGCGCGCACACACATGCATGCATGCAGATCCATGCTGTTTTCTCTAGAACTGAATTAACAATGCTCGCATAATAAAGCCTTTCCATCTGATTTGAGATTCAAGGCTGTATCAAGGTTAAAAATAATAATCTGCAGATGAGTTGTAGAAGGAGAATCTTTGTGCTTCAGATTCAAAAAACTTAATTTTCTCTATTTTATTTTTTCCATGTGAGAGGTGCATTAGGAGAAGAACAATTCTGAAGGCATTTTAGAGCAGCAGAGAGGGCGCCACTTCTCAGCTGCTAAAAATAACCAGCCATGAGGTCTGCTTGTCATTCTCGTACTGCCTTCTTCTTAGACATGATCAGTGTTTGCAAGTTGCTAAGGGGAGAGGAGGGTGCAGAATGGAGGCATACCCCAGTTTAGAGTAGAACCAGGGCACATCAGATTCATGTGAATGCTAGTTTATATTCTCCAACTGCTTCTTAATGTCAAGCATTGTATTTTTCATGTTCAATTATGTCCTTTTTTTTGGACCAGTAGAAGTATTTCTGTGAAATTGAATGTGTTCCTCCCACCTGAATACTTGTTCTTCATCCAATTAACACCTTATCATTCTTCAAGTATAAGCTCAACGTCAGTTTCTTTTCTTTAGAGGAATTTTTGCTATAGGGTGCATGTGCTCGCCAGAGCGACACAAAGCAAGAAATCACCCCCCAGGGGGGATGGCCGCACCACAATCCCTTCTCCATTCTCTCTTCTCAGGATTTTGGGCACACACACACAGCCCAGGGTGAGTTTTAAGCCACTGGGTCCAAGACTTAAACTGCAGTTGACTATGTGAGAGTCCAGTGACACAAGCATTCACCATCCGCTGGTCCCAACTTTCCCCAGGAAACTTTAAGTGATCCCTCAGCTTATTGATACATTAGGACTCTTTAAAAAAATTTTTTTTAATTGCCAGAGGCCATGTTCACTGGAGAACGACAACAGAGAGAGATAGAGAATAGAGAGGAAGGGAGAAAGAGAAAGTAAGAAGGAAACCCCCCCATTGTCCCACCCCCAATTCCCCTGGGGGATGGTCTCACCACAATCCTTTCTCCTTCATTTCTCCCTCCTTTTGGGATTTTGGGCACACACACACACACACACACTTGCCCTGCATGTTTCTTAAGCTGCCAGGCCCAGACTTGAAGTGAGCAATTGGCCATGTGGGATCCAGCCACCTAACCTCCATGGCACTGGCTGGCCCAGATCTCTGATTGATGTTCTCACTTAGTGCTCTCTCTTCCTTTAGAGAAGTTTATATTTATTGGAATATATGTAAATAAGTATGAATACATTGTGAATTACATGTAAGTGCTTGGATTAGCTAAATGTTTTGCTCCCATCTTGTAGGAGATGAAAAGGCCACCCATTCTAGCAGATCAGGTACCACATCAGGCAATGCATCTGCTGGTAGATTCATTAGCAGACAGCCAATGAATACATGTGTGTGTGTATACATATATATACATATATACACACACACACACACACACATATATAT